AGCTATCAATTCCTGTTTCCGTATTTCGCCTCGCGCTACTAGACATTCTTTCAAATGCATCACCAACAAGCCCACATTGCAACTCTCGTGCAGGCTGTTTCACACTTAGGGGAAATCTGGAATGGTATGGCGCGTGGCATCGTGATTCAGCCAGCGCTGCAACTACGCGCCGTCATTAGCTTGCGTGTGCGCAGATAATTCAGGAGTGTATACTACAGTTTTTAACTGCGTCGTCTGCTAAAGTAGTTCTTGTTTGTCGCATTGCTGGCCAGCGCTTAGATATAATTGTTAGGGCAGGAACTGGGTCTATAATCTGCACCAAACGCGGTGCGACGCCAATCTCTCAGCGTTTATTTGTGATGATGAGGTGCCAAAAGCACAATTTGACAGCATACCTTTTTTGCTCTCTCTAAACGCCGTGATGCTGTGTGCGTTCATCAATATTCCTTCACTTTGTGTGCACCGCAGTACACTTGGATGAGGAATACACGTTTATTAGCAGGCAATGTGCGTTGTCTTGATTTGAGTCTGCATAACAAAGCACTCAACTGTAAATGTCGTGCTGCTGCGCTGCCATAACACGATAAAACAAATGGGAACAAATTCAGGAATGGATTAGGCAAGGGCAAAGCCTGAACGTGTCTCTTTACGATGGCATTTCATTACCACAATAGTCGCTAGCCGGCTCCGATGTTCCGTATTTTTAGGCGTAGTTTGTGGCGTAGTATGGAATCACACAGTTCGCGAAAAACTACACAAAAACACAGTACGCGAAGTGCGCTTTCCTGCATTTTTGTAGCGGCGCACTTAGTCGGCGTGCTGATAGATGTGCTTCACCTCAAAGCCAGCACGGCGTGCCAGCGTGTCGCAAGAGCTCACGCAATGCCTGTGCGCCGATGAGCTTCGATGCGCGGCCGCGCTGCGCCGTGTTACAGTGGCCAATTCTAGCCACTGCAGCCGTGTTCACACCGAGAGTGGATGGCACACATGGCCAGCATGTCGTCGGTTGGGCTTGTTTAGCCGCTCGGTAAAGCTCTGTGGTTGGTACTCTGTCGTCTGGCGGTGGCTTGCCAAGATTGCCTGTGTTAACTCCGCAGTGAAGACTGTACCTTCACGAAGGACAATGTCTTAAACGAAGAACTTCGCTACCTCGGCCATACTGCGTCTGGGAGAAGCCCTTGTTTCTGTGTAGCGGGTAAGGTAGCCGGTGGCGAAAGCGATCCATTTATTCCCACTTAGGAAATGGTCTCAGTAGGTTGATTTCGAATTCCTGGAATGGTCGGCGAGGTGAATAAATCGGATGAAGGCTTCCAAAACTTGCGTCTATTCTGATTCTTTGAGTTGCCGATAATTGTAGTTTTTTAGATGCGGAAGCATCTTATACTCGCGCCTTGTAGTGCGCCGTCCGCGCCGTCCGCACCGCTTCTCGAACATTCGACAGCTGACGCGCGCGCATGCGCCGTCGCGCCGTCGCCCACTCTTCCACCATCTGTGCATCCCTTCCTCCTCTACACACCGCGCGTGCTTCACTCCTCCACCATCTGTGCACCCTTCCTCCTCTACACACCGCGTTCGACATCTACAATTCTCCTGATTCTCCAGTGGACGCGCATGTGGCGTCGCGCTTCGAGAACATTCAACAGCTGACAGTGCATGCGCCGTCGAGCTGTATATATACTCAAGGTCGGCGCTCGCTCGCTCAGTTGCCGCTCGTCGGTTGGTTTGTACGGCGCGTCGACGTCCAAGGTCGCGGTGAAATGAATTCCAACGAATCCACAAACACAATGATCGACGTCCCTTCGACCAGCGCTGCCCTTTCGCATACGTGTGTACGTGTTCACTCATTTAACACCCCCTCCTACAACCACGTTAACCAATTTAGCCATCGACCCAAGTAAGTCGCAATTTAACACCCCATTTCACAACCACGTTAACAAATTTAGCCATCGACCCAAGTAAGTCGCACTTTAACACCCCGTTAACCAATTATATGCTCCGCATCCTCCTCAGTGTTCCCCCGAGGGAAGCTGCGGGCAATTTTTTTTCCAAACAGTGGGCTGCTCTTACAGTCCTTGCAGTGCATTGAAAGGTTGCCTGGCCCCGCCACGGTGGTCTAGTGGCTAAGGTACTCGGCTGCTGACCCACAGGTCGTGGGATCGAATCCCGGCTGCGGCGGTTGCATTTTCGATGGAGGCGAAAATGCTGAGGCCCGTGTGCTCAGATTTAAGTGCACGTTGAAGAACCTCAGGTGGTCGAAATTTCCTTAACCCTCCCCTACGGCGTCTTTCATAATCATATGGTGGTTTTGGGACGTTAAACCCCACATATCAATCAAATCAAGGTTACCTGTGATCGTTGTCTGCTAACATGCATAGCTATGCTCTTTGAGCCGCTCGTTGATGCATCTTCCTGATTGCCCAACGTATGCATTGTCACTCGTTTGTGGGGTAACTGAGTATTCGATGTCTACTTCACATTCAACGTATTATGGCGATAGCAATTCTATGGACACTCTCGGCTGGATTTCGCCGCCGGCGTTGGCGTCTATGTCATGCAACGGATGTGTATACGTATTTATATCTATGAAAACGCAAGAAATAAAAAATAAGAAAATTACTTAGGCGTACCAAATCGAACGTGCGACCTCCGCTTCGTGAATGTGGGGCGTTAACCTCTTAGCCACCGAGAGCGTCCTCTTTGAACGTTCAAATGGCAAGCTATTATATCTACCTTTTACCGCTGCTGGCGGGCCTCTCGGGGGGGGGGGGGGGGCTATTGCGTTTTTAGGATTATCAGCAAAATGGCAGTATGAACGTGCGGCGGCTCTCATCTCTCACGCGTGCTTTGGCCCGCGAAGAGGAGGTGAGTGGACGATCCTTCGCCCGCCCTTATCTCCCGATGGGGAGGGTCATACGTCTTGGTTCACGTTGGGCTTGCACTGGGACGATTCTGTTGTAGCTACGGGGCGCACAAAGGTCACTGTAATCGTTGCACAGCTTTCGTTTGCGAAAAGGGCGTGCTTGTCAGACAGCGTGAAGGTACAACTGAGGCGCTTATTCGCGTTCATCTGTACCTGTGAGTACGTTTCTGCGTCATTTGTGCGCGAGAAACGTGGGGCACGTTTTGATATGCTTCTCATTCTGCGCGTGACCTTCCAGTTTGTTGCTATCGCGTTAGTTGCTTCGCCTTTGCGGTAAAGCTGTGACTTCTTTTTAGCATAATGTGTTCGGCATTGTTTCTTCAGTTCTCGGCGTCGTTTACACATTCCTTTTGACTTGACTGGAGCTGAGAAGACAACATTCAGCTCATGTTGATTTTCTTCCATTAATGGAATGCTTTGTGGACGTATGAGACCACTACCGGTTTTTTGTGTCGCTTGATGGGTTCTTTGGTTTTATTTCTTTTCATATTTTAGATAGTTTTCCCCAACTGATACCAGTCTGGGCAGCCACTTTATCGTAGCGTGAAAACAAATTTTCCGAAAGTATCGGCGCGCAGTGATAGTCCTTTCAGTTTTCTGAATCGTTTCGTTTTTTTTTGGTTTTTTACTTTTCTGCCTTACTCTTCTTTGCATTGCTCATTTTTGTCAGATGGTTTTTTTCGTCACATGACTTACTGTCTTATTTAGGTGTTCTCACCGTCTGCACACAAACTCGTTGGAAGTGAGCGCCCGTCTTCTTGTCCCTTTGTCGCCATTATCAGATTGCGCTACAAAAAATAGTCATGACCTACCAACCAGCCCGAACCACCACATTTCTGTGTTGTGATATTTTGATTGAATGCAACTTCACGAAGTGGCGCTAAGTATATGTACAAAGTCACGCACAGATTTACTTTAAAGAGCCGCATAACTTTTATATAATCGTTTCTTTACAGGTGCATAACTATGCCGACAGAAATATAAATACTAGCGACATCAGAAACGGTAAGCTCATATGACGCGCTGGTGCTCGTGACAATGGTAGCCCTGAACACTGCTACATAAATCGACTTCAGCGGATGGGACCTTACTACTCTTGACGTTAACTCGACGTAATGATTGTGCCATGGGAGTACATATGCAATGTATATAAAATTGGATTGCCCGCACTGCCACCACAATAGACCTTTCACGAACACTAGGGAATATTTAAAAAGTTGTTCCGAGACCTGGCGTAGCTCTATGGTAGAATACCTAGCTGTTTGCCGAGGAGAATGCTGGGGTTCGATTCCTGATGAGTCACTGACGTTTATGCTTTGCATTCGTCAGTGTCAACGCTGCCGACGTCCACTTTTTCTTAACGCTTACGCGTTAAAGTTGTCCATGTGTCTTCTCGCCGTTCCTGGGCAAATATAAGGACTCAATTACCTGTGGCACATACCCGCCCACGGGTATGTGCCACTGTTTGGCGGGAAGTGTTTGACGACGTGTGCGACGGGATTGTGACATTATTGATGTGATGACGAGCGAGTCGTATTCGTCAAACCATCTTATCCTTCATACTGATTCTGGTTAACCCCAAGCTGAAATCGAACTTTATTTCGCATCTATCCACAGTGCAGATAAGATAGGGGGATGTTCACGAGAGCACCGAGGGATGGATGGATGGATGGTTGGATGGATGGAATGGAATGAATTGGATTGGATTGGGATGGATTGAATTGAATTGGAATGGAATGGAATGAATGGATTTGAATGGAATGGAATGAAATGGATGGAATGTTCAAAGTTCCTGCATTACTTAAAGAAACGCTTCGAATTTAAAATGATCTACTACAAGCGTGAAGCTTCTTGAACACTGAGGCGTGATTTGCGCCAAGTATATATATCACAATCTTCGTGATTTCAAACCAAGCACATCACCACAACACGCGTGGCAATATTTACAAATCTGTCCTTAGGTCACGCAAGGTTAAGAAAGGTCATTATTGGCCATGATTGAAGCGCATATATTATGTGAGGCTGTAGCGATTTGCTCTCTATCCCGCCGATCGAAGAGCGTAGGAAAAAGGTGACGTACGACAGGGAGACAGCGGGTGCCTCGTCGATGACAGCAATTCCCTGGGCGTCCGCCTGGTCCATGATCTCCTCGGCGTACGGGTAGTGAGACGTGCGGAACGAGTTTGCGCCTAGCCAGTTAATCAAGTTGAAGTCCTTCACAACCAGTGCCATGTCCAGACCCTTGCCACGAATCTGCAGTGACAGTACACATCACATCAGCGTCAGCTGAGGGTGAAAAAAGAGGCACTTGGCCCCTTCAAGCCGCACCAGCACTTACCCAAGCAAGCCCTTCCACTAACAGCAATGCAACACGAGTTTGCAACCATCAGGCCCATCACTTTTATTGCGAAAGCAATCATATGAACACTCTCGGCTGGATTTTGCCGCCAACGTCGGCGTCACTGCCACGCACCGTATATGTACACGTATATATATATATATATATATATATATATATATGAAAATGCAAGGAAGAAAAGAAAAACCTAGAAGAACACACCGGCGCGCGGAATCGAACGCGGGACCACTGCGTCGCGAAAGCGATGCGTTAACCGCTAAGCCACCCCGAAGCACGTCCTTCGCCGTTCAAACGGCAAGGTATTTATATATATGAGTAACCACGGCTCACGAGCATCACGGGGGGGAATTGAGTTTTTAGCATTACGAGCAAGATGGCACATTGAGCACGCGTCACCACATCACGCGGCGGCGCCCGCTCTAATCTCCTATGCGTACATTGCCCGGTTTAGAGAATAGAGGCGACGCTCCCTCGCGTGCCCTTATCTCGCGGTGGCGAGGCGGGGAGGATCGTACGTCTTGGCTGCCCTCGGGTTTTACCTGGAACAATTCTGCTGTAGTTACCGGGCGCACAAAGGTCACTGCAATCATTGCAGTCTTCGTTTGTGAAAAGCGCGTGCTTTTCAGACTCAGCAAAGTGACGAATAAGACGCTTATTCGCATGCATCCGCACCCGTGAGTACGTTTTGTGCGTCATTTGTGCGTGATAAACGCGGGGCACGTTTCGATCTGCTTTCCATTTTGCGTGTGACCCTTCAATTTGTTGCTATCACGTTCATTGCTTCGCCTTTGCTGCAAAGTTGTGATTTTTTGGTCACCAATATTTTCCACGTTTCATATTTAGCCTTAAAATGATGTGATCGTGGGGCCAGAAGTGAAACATCGGCTATAATGGAAATAAAGCACGCTTTAAAATTAGTTGGGATATTTACAACTGCTGCCTCTAACATTAAAGCTTTAGTGCCATATGTTCTTCACTTAGATTCAAATATCTCTCGGTTCTAATACTTGGGTATGATTTTAAACGAAAGTGCTCGGCTAGAAAACGAGGCAAGAGGGTCATTATGTCAAACGTCTTAGCCATTTTGACGACCATCTTAAGTGTACTACAAGAAAAAAATGTGCTGATTTATCGCATTGAAAACAGTGACATATTTCGAAGAGAAGAAAGTTTGCGGCCACGTGGGATCCTTTCGCATTTTGCAGAATATAGTTTGGGTGTAGTCGGTCAGAAAAATGATTCATACGGTACGGTTTTTTTTTCCATATCAAGTTTTGCTTAGGTACATATTGACCAAAAAAAAACTTGTTTAAGGTTTTGTATGTTCAATAACAATACCGCAATATTTAAGTCACATATGCCTGCAGGAAATTTCCTAAGATGTTTCGTGTTTGAAGTTTTCATTTAGAGTATTTAAACGTGTAATATTATTCAATTAATTGTTGAGTAGTTTACGGAAGGTATATGCTTAGGTTAAAAATATTTCCAGATCACGGATGTTTTTTTTAATTTTACGAAAAAAAAAGCTCGTGAATATCATTATTTTGGTCCGCATTGAGACGCTATTTATGCCGCGTCGTGCTCCAGTGAGAAGTAAGCTTTGTATCTTTATTGAAAGGAAGTATATAGTTATCCAACATGACAACCTTAACCATTATTATTTCGAACTAATAGTCAGTGTCGCTTGTTCTTATATTTATTATTGTGTCTAACAAAGAAAAAATAACTTTTATAATTACACTTCTCTTCTTAACAATTGCAATTTTCGTTTTAAGAAAGTCAATTTTGAAGTTCTCTGTTGACGACTATGTTTCCATTTGGTCAACCGGCCGCTTCGTCATCAAATTTTCCCATTGACATCAATTTCAACTTTAAAACTTGAAAAAAAAAAAACATTTTCTTCCTTAGAACAAGGTGCACCGAGTCCGTTTTCGGAGCAGATATGACGCATGGCTCAAGGTTCTCACGTTCGAGTCTTCGTGCTTGCCGAAGCCCATCAGGTAGAAGGGCCGATCGTTGATTAGCAAACTGTCATTGGTGACCCGCACGGTGCGTACGCCTACTTTCTGATAGTAGACATCGATGTTGCCGGCCACTGTGGCTTCTACCTGTGCGAAAAAACAAAAAAAAAACGATGTCACGGACTGCTGGGCAAGTTGGTAATTCCCTTCAGCATGGTGATGCGCAAAAGGACGATAATACGAAGGAAGGAATACAAAACACGTCGAAAAACCTGCGCCATGTTTGCGCAAGGCCAGTAAATGACGGCAGATATAGCCATTAAAAAAGAAAAAAAAACAGTGAAAAACATAGTAATATAAAAAAGACACTGAAGCTTATTTGACAAGCCAATGTAAATAGGACGAAAAAACGGTTTTCTTTAACAACAGCAAATCAAGAAAACAATCTAAGCCACCTAATAAACGGGCAAATGCCTAAAAAACTATGGCAAGCTGCGAACGAAACAGCAAAGACACATGCACTTACCCAAGTATGAAGTCGTCATGAAGTCGTCAGTGCGAATGACGTCGGTGGTATCTAAAATTCTCTCGCCCACTCTAACGCGTTCAAAGCCGAAGGTATGCCCAATGGTTTCCTGTTGCCGCATTGCGCGTTGTCATTCATGAAGCTCATCGCCACAAACTAGAGATGGCGATGAGAGGACACGATGGCGTTCGCGGAAGCAGGTCGGCCAACTTTGCTTGAGTGGCTGGGTAGGCTCTGCTATTTCTACTTCGTCCTGTGGAGGGTCCCTGCCTCCTGGAAGCTCGTGAAAACGCACCCCGGAAAGTTATCCCGGTCATCGCATCGCCTAACGCCATCGAAGCAGAATCTACCGCTCAGTACTACGCGTTTGCTGACGGCCCACCTTCATGGATTACTAAGCATCGGACGTCACCAATCCCGGTTATAAAGACAGTTGAATATGCTTGCCTGCTCAGAGGACATGGTGGTGTTCGCGGAAGCACGTCGACTAACTTTGCTTGGTTGACTGTGCAGGTCAGTTTTTTTTTCAGTTTTTCGTGTGATATACTCGTACGAGCTACTATGCTCTAGTGATGCTGCCATGTCCTCGGCAATGCCTATGTATTATCACTGACTGCTGGTCTGTTATGCTCTTCATATTGTATGGTGACATAGAAACAAACCCTGGCCCTAATGATCAAGCTATGCTGAAAACTATCCTGTCCGGACAAAACGATAATAAGTCTGCTGAGAAAAAGCGGGATGATACGCACTTTGAAATGAACACAAATGGTGATGTGTGGGGTTTAACGTTCCAAAACTACCATATGATTACGAGAGACACCACAGTAGAGGGCTCTGGAAATTTTGACCACCTGGGGTTCTTTAACATGCACCCAAATCTGAGGACTAAATGAACACACAGCTTTCCAAGCTTGACGAAGTCTTAATAGAAAGCAAATGAGGGAAGTATAAAGGCTATGGAAGAATCTGCCGAGTGTCTAGAAGAGACATCACCGCAAAGAAAGCTTCATGATTGCAAAGACAGATAATGCACAAATAATTTAGTAGTTTTCAGCATTCCTGGGGATCCCAACGAAACATAAAAGTAAACGTCAGGTGGTGGGTAAGCTTGGCTTCATCATTAGTTTCGTTTAACAAATTCATAGGATCGCCAGTAACCGCAGCAGCAAACCTAGGCCAATTATCATCGACATGTACAACTACAATAAAAAGAATTCGATTTAGAAGAACTGTTTCGAACTGAAAGATACTGGTGTATCTGTATCACATTACTTTTCACAAGCGTCACTGCGCGCAAAGAAAAAAAAAACTGTGGCAATTCATAAGTTCTGACAGACGTTTCGGGGATAAGGTTAGATTTCTGCGCGATAAACCTTTTATAAATAATAATACTAATATCTTCATGTGGGATGAAGTGACAGATAACTGAATTTCCCCGCAAAGAACCAGTACCTACACTGTTAAACAAAACTGGCAGATCCAACGACTGACGTTTGCAGGCCCAAAATGAACAAACTGAAGAAGTTGCTCTGTTATGCGCAAAGCCTGTGTAGCAAAAAAAAAAAATACCAGTCAGAGCATGCACGTATGACTCCCATGTCACTGCTAGCCCATAGGCGTGCGCACTTAAGGTGGGAGGTCTGCCACATTCTTTAGTGGTACTTGTTCCGTCATTGTACACTAGCAAGGTCATGGTCACGAATGTTTTCTGCTCCCAAAAAAAGGCAGGTCATTGAGAGACATTCGTCGTCGCTTTTTTGAACGATTGGGAATTACCCTGCGCACGTCGTTGTCACCGTATCATGAGCATCCAGTAGGCGCGATCAGTATCATTCTCGACGTCTTACCCTAGCCGTGTAGAGGTATCCCGGTTCGCTGTGCATGCCCACGGGCCACCACAGCTTGGCGTCTCTGAGGCACAGCTGACCAGCACAGCCCGCGGACGAAGCGGCCACGTCACCTCGATCGTCCAGCAGGGCCACGCGGCAGTTGGGCGGCGTCCCGTTCTTGGTCTTCACATCAATGCTGAACTCGATCACCGCAGCTGGGTTTGTGTGGTGTGGTAACATAATAGTTTGCACACCATTATTACACAATGCCATTGTACCATGCTCATAATAATAATAATAATAATAATAATAATAATAATAATAATAATAATAATAATAATAATAATAATAATAATAATAATAGCAGTACAAGTCGTTGTTCTTGTCATAGTAACACCAGAGTCTTTCACTTACGTTTAGGTATGGACGCTTTTTTCCGAAGAGGAGGATTTCCTCCTTGCTTGGCCGTTGCACGAGAGTACGAAAACCAACGTCACAGCCTTGGCAGTGCATTTTCGGAAGGTTACGCGTGCTAACAACAGCTCAGAAACGACAACGGCAGCGCCCAGAGCGCCTTGGTTTATATTGAAGGACTCTGCTAACACTAACCGTAGTCTTTGCCAGTTGGTCAAAGGCTGTCAGCAATAATAAAGCCGGGTCTTTTAAAAGTTGGCGTGCATACACACACAGCTGCTTCACGCACGTGTGTTGGTATGAGATGCACGACTGAGGAGGAGAAATCAGTAAAGCTGGAAGAAAAAAAATAACACCATTCACCCGAGAGCTATTGCCGGCTGGTGTCACTAAGTACTGCCAAGATTGGAAGACATTCAGGTGTTCGAATAGGTAGCTTGTATACCCGATGCGAAAGATCGGGCATGCAGACGCGGACAAGAAATAAGTCGGGACACCACAAAGGCGTATTGACAACTCGGTCACTAGTGGTGTCCGGATACCTTCTTGTATCGTATTTCCTTTCTGTCGGAATGAATGTTTGCAAACTAGTTCGGCTGACTGTAATGCTTGCTTAGCCACTTGACCCTAGGGGTGTAGGGGGGCAATCTGATAAAGTTCGAAGTTTATGAGACGTTTAAAGCCCGTGCCCCATATTTCAAAGCATTTTGCGCGCATATGTATGCACTCACACATGCAAATACGCAGGAAGATACATAAATAGGTGTAAGAGGCGGACCACTTTTTGACGAAATAAGCTTCTACAAGCTACGTCCCTGTATGTTTAACCACTCTTCTCACCTTTTGTTCCACGCCACATAGCTGAAGTTATCCGTACATGTACTTCTCGGTATGTCATCCTCCTCTGTATATTTTATGCTTTGTAACATTATTTAATGTCACAATAATGATACTTATTGATCTATTTGTAATATCACGATCGCTCCTGCATACCCGAAAGACTGCCGTATTCCTTGTGCTCTAAAGCATACGTTAATACGAACATTTAGGTACCGCTTATCACGTACATTTCATCACTGTGGGCAGCGGGCAGAATTCTGAGGAGCAGAAATACGTTTCGATTGATTGATATGTGGGGTTTAACGTCCCAAAACCACCATATGATTATGAGCGGCGCCGTAGTGGAGGACTCCGGAAATTTTGACCACCTGGGGTTCTTTAACGTGCACCTAAATCTGAGCACACAGTCCTACAACATTTCCGCCTCCACCAGAAATGCAGCCGCAGCAGACGGGATTTGAACCCACGATCTGCGGGTCAGCAGCCGAGTACCTTAGCCACTAGACCATCGCTTTTTTTTTCTTTATTGCCTGTTTTCGGGCCACTAGACCATCGCGGTGGGGCCCGAAATACGTTTCATCACACCGATAGCGTAATACGTTCTATGGTCTGCCAGAACTGCGCCACAGGTACAGAGGCATTCACTCACCGATTTTATCCACGGCCTTCTTGGTCACGAAGTGGACGTCGTCTATGAAGTCAGCTGGAGTTGTGTACATAGTGACACTCCTGTGGATGCCCGCATAGTTGAAGAAGTCAAAGGGCACATCCAGGCGATAGTAGCCCTCCGGATACCTATAGCAATGGATTAGCAGTGGTGGTAGTAAGCCAGTACCGTCAGACTTAGGCTGGGTTTCAATTTTGGGGGTGCTACAAGAACGCGCGTGTGTGATGAGTGTTTGTCTGTAAGATGGGAGGTGGGTTAATTTAGAATAATTTTAGTTTTTTTTTCGAGGGTGGGGGGTCGGCATTGCTTTAGTAAGGATGTGTTTGGGAAGGGGGGGCTCACGTCCACCCTCCTCGCCAATAGGGGTGTGTTACGGTTCAGTAACACACCCATATTTTACGCGCTACACGGACCGGGCATGTAGCGCGTAGACAGGATGACCTGCTGGTCGTTAAGGGTAACTAACTAGATTCCCAGAGAAGGCAAGCGGGTTAGGGGGAGACAGAAGGATAGGTGGGCAGATAAGATTAAGGAGTTTGCGGGTGTAAATTGGCAGCAGCAAGCACAGGACCGGGTTAACGCGGAACATGGGAGAGGCCTTTGTCCTGCAGTAGACGTAGTCAGGCTGATGATGATATATGATGATGACGGTTCAGCTGGGGTATGTTGGGAGAGGGGCTTTCACCGGATGAACTCTTGATGGTCAAATCAACGTATATCGAACCAAAGTACTTTCCCAACTAATAGGAACTGCTGAATGTTCGCTACCTCGATTCTCGCCGCAGTGCAAGGTGTGGTGGTGTCAGCTGATCGACCATGTCTCAACGATGCTTTGCGTAATCCTGTGCGCATGAACCAGAAAACTGCGCGAACCAGAATTTACGCATGAACTGAACTGCACTCCGAGATAATTTGTGCCGGGCCGGTCTAGCGGATTTGCCGCAGTAGTAGGCCACTAACGAATAGCGGGCCGTCGTGGCTGCACAGGATTGCAAACATATTACGCCGTTGTTACTTGCGATGTAAGCTTCATGCAGCTTCTTCTTCAACGCAACACAAGCATTTAACTTCCCATTAAGTAAAACTTGTGTCACAGCCATGATCAGACTCTAACAGTGCGCAATTTCTTGCACTTAGGTGTTGCAGGTTTCATCAGCGCGATTGAAACAAGGATATCGAAACGAATACATGGGTGTGTTTTTCGCAACGTCACTGAAGAGTGCGAAAAGTTTGTCGAACAACAACGTCGTTCAGACGGCACCAGTGAATTCCAGGAGAAGTTAGCGTGGACTGTAGTCGTAGCTGCATATTTTATTGTTCTAACCATTTCTCTTTGCTGGTCGAGCTCAAACGTGTTGGCCGCATGCGGCACTTTGTAATATTCACTATAATTGAGACACATTCAATGCAGAAGAAAAAGTATGCTTTTATTTTGAGCTTGCCGAAAAATGTTTTACAATAAATACAATGAAAGCGACTTACGAGTGTGAAACAACATTAACGCATGACAGGACGTGAAGTGCAGTTCTCTGCTCGCGAGATTGCAGGTGATCGTTCATCATCGCTGTCACTCTCAGCGCGTTCTACGTCCAATGAAAAATCCTTGACTTCAAGACGGTTTCTTTGAACACTGGCGAAAGTAATCTGAGGTATTTTCTCCACCAAATGACTTCGATAGCACCAACAACGCGTCATTCACCACGCACAACACCCACATGGCATCACTCACCACGTTTATCTCGCGAAGCGAAGATAATTTCATTCCGATACCCGGTAAGAAAGAAATCGCTTGCAGTGTGCTGCCATCTATCAACGAATGTAAAAAAGAAGCGGTGCAGCATTGGCCAAGGTTTGGAAGCACATATCGCGAGCCAGCCCTACTTTCCGCGTACAATGAATGTTATGGGATTCATGCACTAAAAAAGCACTGACGAGTGCTATACGCATGTAAAAAAAGGCGATCTTTCACTGAAATGGTCAGACGATAACATTTAACTATCCAAAGTGGCTGCATAAAAATCTCGAGAAGCTGACATGCGTACTCTATGGGCTATAATGGAAAGCGTGAGTTCCCAAGTATGTACAAGAAAACGTCGTGTGCCCCGCCGCGGTGGTCTAGTGGCTAAGGTACTCGGCTGCTGACCCGCAGGGCGCGGGTTCGAATCCCGGCTGCGGCGGCTGCATTTCCGATGGAGGCGGAAATGTTGTAGGCCCGTGTGCTCAGATTTGGGTGCACGTTAAAGAACCCCAGGTGGTCTAAATTTCCGGAGCCCTCCACTACGGCGTCTCTCATAATCATATAGTGGTTTTGGGACGTTAAACCCCACATATCAATCAATCAAAACGTCGTGTCTCGAAAGAACGAAGAAGATTTATCGTGTTACGGATGATCTGGTATATTCACTGATTCATGAAACCCACATAGTCCTTTGTGTTGTTTCTTGCTAACTCGTTAACACTGCGGCTAGCACCGCCGAACAAGGCATCATTGGGAGCGTCTGCCTACTGATCATCCTTGAGAGGACACTCCTGAATTCCGCTAGGCGGCGCGACAGTGTATGAGCATTTCAGCGCAGTTTGGGCTGGCATGGTGGATGGCCGTGTTTTTTTAGCGCTCCCAATTGACTGCGCAGGGAAGTGGTTTTGTATGTTTCAAGCTTGCTTTTATAATTATTAAGGCAGCAGTTAAAACCTTTGTAGCACCTATTACATTGTAAGGCTTTTTCGGGGGTCAGTTACCAGGCATTAACTAGTTTGTGTTTGTTGTTAGTGTTTTTTTCTCTTGCCACCCCATGGGGGAGGTGCACGTACACCGAACACGCAAACTTTTGTGGTAGAGCTTAGACTTCGTTTTTTTGTAGGACAGGGTTCGTCGCACGCCGTGTTTTGTAATTATCGAGTGGGGTGATTCACAAGGACAATTGGTGTCCAAAAGACATAATTAAAAACTGTAAAATGGTTAGCATGAGGGGTGGGTTTGAAATTGGACCCAAGTACAGACGCGAATGAAGAGAACGCTAACGCCAAGTGTAGGTAATGCGAGGTCGAGGAAAAGAAAGGAGAAAATGATGGTTGCCCAGATTGAACTGCTGATGAGAATCACCGAGCTGGGGACTGCGTTGGCGACAGAGCAAGAGAAAACAAGGTCTATGGGAGAAAGGCTCAAGTCCGAAGAGACACTAGCTAATGTGAACAAAGGAGCGGCCGACGGAGAGAACGGTCGGACACCGACAACCAGAACGGCGGAGAAGAAAGAGCAAGCAAGTTCAGAAAAAACTAGTTCAGCCGGTTCAATGGTCATAAGACCCAGCTTCAGTGAAGTGGTGGTGGGATGGGAGGCGTCACAGGTGCAAGTAACCCCCAGGTGCAGGACGCCCCAGCTGAAAAGTCACAGCACGTGATAATCGCCGGGGACTCAAATATAATCGATGCACAGAAGCAATCAAGAGAGGGTAAGAAGTGACAAGAGGGTTGCAGTGGGGAAGTTCTCAGGACGCAAGCTGGAAGCAGTCGTGAGGCGCATGCATAGCATGCATTCATTATGGTATGAATGGTATGAATGCACAGCATTTTATACCAGTCGTGAGGATGGACCACTGCAGCGGAGCTACATTAGATTGGCTTTAAGAACTTCTGTGCATTGCTTGACATTATTGTCTGTTAGATCTCATAATTATTCACTCTTAAAAAATAGAGTGACGTTCTCTCAATTTAGGGAGGAATGTCGATGTCCCCAATGTTCGCCTTTAAATAGAGAAACGTTGCTCCCTTTGCCACGGAGAAACATATTCCTCCCTATAAAAATCGAATGGCTGACGCCAGGTTAGCGAAGCGAGTAGGCCTAGCAAATGCATCGATTCTCGACTGATAAGGAGTACACGGCCCGGAAAGTTACAAAAAACGGTCCCGCTGAGCTTGATATCGAACGAAATGATTATAAAAACAAGCAGACGAACCTGTGGTGATGAAAACATCGCGAAAGAGAACGACGGAGCAAGTAGGTTTCGTTCGGCCAGCGAGGCGACGTTCACTCTGAAATACGCGGATATTGCAGAGTCCTCACCTGAAAAGTGGATGCTAGGCTTGCTGTATTTATTTCTCACAGATTCACATAGTGTATCAACGTTATTCATGCGTTTACGGGGCCACAGGTCACGAGATGTGCTGCCAAACCGTAGACTTGATCGCAGCGAAACCATTCTGACTCAGTAGTGCAGCTATGGTAGATAGATGTTCAACGTTATATAAGTAGCTACAGGTGTGAGAGCGTCATAGCCGTGAAGTATGTGGTAGCTGGCGTCATCTGGAGGAACTAAACGGTGCTAAAAAGAAAAAAAGGTCGCCAGCGGCTACGTACGTTGTCATACCACCATTGCGGCTCTCTTGCGGATAGTTTATAGCCTCAGCCCATTCAGGATTACTCCCTGACACCGGATGCCTATTATGGGCTGATGCAATGCATATAGCTACAAATGCACACAAGGACACATAATACGCATACAGGGTGAACTCACTGAACAAGAGCACAATGAACCATTCGTAACAGCGGCACACACTTCGACGTGTAATCGGCTAAGTTTTGCGTCCATGACGGATACGGCGGCTCCAGTATCTACAAGGGCAGATGCACGAACGCCATCCCCAAGCACATCTATCACGTTCGTCGGGCTTTCCTGAGAGCTTCCGCAGTTCGACAGCGTCGCAGCCCTTGCCTCGTGGACTGCGACGACCAGTTTTCCTGGTCGCCCTCGAGTGAACGTGGCCGCATCAGCGACAGTGAGTGACGTTGTGGAGATGGTGAACGGCGGGTAGACGGAACGGGGCGGGACGACGGTGATATAGGCGGCGGTTGATCATAAGAGCGGCTTGATTGGCTGGGAGATTGGAGGCGAGCTGCGGTTGCTGCACACGATTGCAATAGCGTGCTACATGACCGACGCAACCACAAGCAAAGCAGATGGGGCGATTGTCAGCAATGCGCCATCGGTTCACGGGTCCCATCCATGTCGCCGAACGCTATGGGCGATCCGGCTGCTGATATGAGTGCATGGTAGGCGGCACTTGGAGACGTGGGTGACGCCGGCGTATGTAGGCGACACAGTTTCTCCGAAGTCATGGGACCTCGCGA